ATAATAATAATAATCATTCGTCACAATAATAATAGCGATAGTTTCGTAATAATAATGACAATTCATCGTCGTCGGTAATAATCCAATGACAAATGTCAATAGTCATATAGTAGCGTGTCGAACGGAGAAACGACCTTAAAAAACGAAGACAGTATCAATTGTTCGTTCGTACATTTTGTTTTTTTTTTTCTTTTTTCCTTTTAGCTTCCGTCGTCTTACTCTTCTCGCTCGCGCTTTTTTTTTCATTTTTTTTTTAGTCTCTTCTTACCTCTCGCTCTCGCTCTTCCACACGCGCATTCTCTCTCGACGTTTTTTTTTTTTTTTAGTTTTCTTTCTCTCACACACACGCACACTTTCTCCCTCTGTCTCGTGTTTACACAATTGATGCAAAATGTCCCTACACAGTCCGACGAATGTGTGTGTGTGTACGTTTTTCCGATCGATCGATTTTTTTCTTCCTCCGGGTCGTAGTGTGTTTGCTCGACGCTTTCTCTATGATATTACTTTTGCTTTTTTCCGCCTTATCCTCATTGAAATCCGCTATTTTCCCATTGTAGCACGTGTTGACACATTCACTCACATTGGTTAATCGGTTTGCTAGTGGAGGGACTAGGGTGGTGGTGGTGATGGTGGTGGTGGTGGTGGTGGTATTGGTGGTAGTGGGTTGGAAACGTGAGGGGGGGTGTGCATTCGGTGGAAGATATCGGTGAGGAGTGCGTGGGGTGGGTCAGGGTGGTTCGGGGTGGGTGGCGACGTTAAAAGGGTGCACGAGGATTTGGGAAAAGGACGCGTGTAAGGTGTCGCGAATTAATCGATTAGGAACGCTTACGAGGAAAATGGATATGATGCGGTGAAAACAGAAGGCGCTATTTTTATATTCGGGCCCCACCGGTCAACGGATCTACTACTCGTTCCTGCTCCTCTGCTTTCTCCATATCGTATTCCGTTTCTTTTGTTTTATCCGATTACTAATTGCTTTCCGTTTTTCGTAGAAAATCTGACAGACAGGAGTGGTTTTTGAATGCCGAAAGGTGTAAGAATTTTGTCTCGTTTCACGAAAGTCCGCGAATATAGGGTGAAATTCGTCGACCGAGGGACATTTTCGCGGTGCCGAGAGCGTCGAAAGTCGATAACAGTCGCCTACGATCGCGAGGGGAAACCGAAGTTCGATCAGGATGGCTGCGATCGGGAAGTATACTGCCTCGTTTCCGCGATTTCTTGTCGCGCTCGTCCCACGCGTTTTATCGAATTCCTTCTATCTCTCTGCCTGAGCTTTGTTCTTTTTCTTTTTTTTCTTTTTTTTGCCTCTGTCGCCTCTCCTCCTCTGCTCATCCTGGAACGCGACAATGTGCCCTTTCGCGTTTTCGAATCGTGACATGCGTTCGGCGTTCGGCTTTTCCGTTTACTTGGTCTGGGAGAAAACGTGGAAACGAAATCGGGGATCTTTGAGAACGAGCGTGTAGGGGGAATTCGTCGGAAATGGAAGTTTGATCGGGCGACATTGTCACGAACGAGGAAGCACATCGCGTACGCGTTCGCGTTTTCGTTTCTTTTTTTTTTTTCTTTTTTTTTCTTTGCACTGCTTGTACGTATGCGTGCGTACATACATACATATATGTATATCTTTATATATAGATATATAATATCTTGTTATATCATCGGCTATTTCTCTTTCGTTTGGTCGTTGTACAAAAGAAATGAGGATTGAGTCGTTTTTACCAAAAATTTTTCTGTGCCTTGAACCGGAAGTAAAGAAATCATTCCAGCGAACCCAAACTATTGCCTGCTATGGTTTCTTCTGTATGCGTTCTATAGTATTGTCTCGAAACGTATGTGTTTTTTTCTTTTCTGAAATTTTTACGCATGTGCTCTCTATCTTTCCTCTTTCTCGTTCCTTTCGTTTGGCCGTGACGTGTTTTTTTTTCTTTTTTTTCCTTTTTTCTCAATTTCTTTTCGCTCGTTTTCGCTCGTTTTCGCTCGCTTTTGCTCGAGGGGAGGGGGACTTTTTTGCTTTGCCGACATTACAGTGTGCAATCACCGTGAAAAAAAAAATTTCTCTCAACTCTCGCATTCTCTCTCTTTCTCTCGCTTTCTCTCTCTCACTATTCGCGCTCCCTATATACTTCGAGTTCGATAATTTCGTCTAAAATTCCATTTTCGCCTTAACTATACACAATAATCATAATATATAATAATAATAATAATCACGACTCGAATACATCATCGATCACCTCCGAATATAGATACAATAATTTTTCTTCTTCATCTTCTTCATCCTTTTCAACTTCTTTCCGCCTTTCTCTCGCATTACATCTCACAATAATGATCGTTTAGGTCGTCGTATATCTATACATATACATATACATATACATATACATATATATATATATAATTTATAAAATGAAAATAGGTACAATTTTGGACGCTTTTCTTCGTCGAAAAAACGCTCCGAAAATTTCATTTTCGCTTAATAATGCCCATCGGTTGCGATTCTAGTCCACTTGGTAGTAAAATTTTGTATAGTTTTCACTCTCGCATCCATACTCGTTTTCTCCCTCTCCATTCTCTCGTCACCATTCGTTCTTAAATATCTCGCTCACCCTTCGCACGCATTCGTATACGCGATCTCTCATTTAAGCAGCTGCAGATTTATCACACTCTCGTTAATTTTTGTTTCCACACTCAGACCGTGTCCTTTCATACAAAATTTCAGCGATAAATAGCTCTCGCGATACATCAGCCTTTTTTCGCCTTCGATTTCGAAAAGACATGAAATTTTAGGCTGGCCAATCGCGTGCTTCCGGAATCGACGAGCTTCCAACGGCGCTCGCAACCAGAACAAAATTTCACCATGAGAAATACGCGCTTAAATTTCTACTCTACGTCGTGTTAATAGTATATTTACAGTCGTTCGATTGCGACGTCAAGTTTGTTTTCAAGTGTCTCGAAAGTCGAACTTCGAACGGCTTTAATTCCGACTCAGCTCGCATACAAGCTCGTCCAAACGAAACTCCCGAGGACTTTGCACAATTTTCATTGCTTTTCCATGGTGTTCCTCTTTTTTCCTCTCCTCGTCTTTTTATTCGTTCTCTTTGTTCTTTTCCTCTTTTTGTTTTTACTCCTCGCGTAGAAAGAATTTCATTCTACGTTCAACTCGAACGATCGGTTTCGTGATTCGAGAGTTATGAATCCTGTAGTAACAAAAGATTGCACAACGATACCGACCTTGTCCTATGGAACTTTGTCGAAACGAACTTGGTATGCTTTCAACAGGAAGCCCGAAAAGACGCTTTATACATAACATTTCTTTGCTTTTTGCATTCGCAATTACGCTATAATTCGCAAAACATTAATCCGCAGTGTTCAATGGTATCTACCTGCGAGTATCCGAAACGCCCGCACCTGGACATTTTCTCGCGTTTTCTCTTTTACATTTTCAAGAGTGTCCTTTCTTAAGTCTAAATAGTTGAAAATAACGTATATTATTTTTGTTTCGTAATTCCGCCGAGTTTACATCGTTTTGA